CCTGGCAGTTGTAGTTTGACAAGATACTTAGCCTTCTCTGCCAAAGGTATGTGTGCACTACCAAACTACAAATATTCCATAGGTTGAATCATATCAGAGGAGAAAGAAAGCAGGACTGTCTTAAGATCCAGGATAAATATGACATGATTATTTTTTCTTTTTTGTTGCTACAGGAGAATTTGGCTCTGTCATGGAGGGGCAACTCAGCCAAGATGGGGCTGTGCTTAAGGTTGCTGTGAAGACCATGAAAAGTAAGTGGGAGAAACACACGGTCAATTTTCCCATCCTTTTAGTCCTATGCCAAAGCTTAGGACTAAAAGCTGAGCAGATCTGTGTCGAGCCTGGCAAAGTTACATGTTTAATTACAGTTAATATAATAGCATTTTAATTACAGTTAAAATTCTAGGAGCTGAATTTCAAAATCCTAACCTTTCCAAGCTTTGGCCAAAGCTTCTTGGAAAAGTCCCTCCCTTTCTTGGTTTGCAATTGTGGATAATTTCCATTCTGCAAGTGTTTATGAGAGATACCACTCTGCATATGCTTAGAAGCTTCCTGCTTTTATAGATTCACATCTTCCAAGGCTGGAGTGGAAGAAGCAGATCCTTGGAAAATTAAAACTGTTCTTTCATCCAGTTTGTGGAAAGGTTGATCTCACTGTTCAGACCACGAAGCCAAATCTAAAATGCAGAAACTTATCACTATATGGAAACGGGGCTTATCTACACTGTAGAATTAATGCAGTTTGGCACAGTTTTAACTGCCATGCCTCAATGTGGAGCGTGTAGTTTCACAAGAGCTTTTGCCATCTCTGGTGCATCACCAAACTACAAATGCCAGAATTCCATAGCATTGAGTCGTGGTAGTTAGTGGTATATTTTGTTAAGCTTTTAAACTGTATATTGTATTGCTTTTAGTGTCGTTCACCACTTTGAGTCTCTTTTTGGAGAGATAAAGTGGGATAACAACAACAAAAACAACAACAACAACAACAACAACAACAACAACAACAACGAAAGATCGAACTGCAAAGACTCTGGCACAAGCCAGTCAAGGTGGTCCCAGTGGTGATCGGCACACTGGGTGCAGTGCCTAAAGACCTTGGCCTGCACTTAAACACAATCAGCGCTGACAAAATTACCATCTGCCAGCTGCAAAAGGCCACCATACTGGGATCTGGATGCATTATTTGCCGATACATCACACTGTCCTAGACACTTGGGAAGTGTGATCCAATACAATAGCCAGCAAAGTGATCTTGTCTGCTGTGGACTCATCTTGTTGTGTTTCAAAAAATAATAGTGATGATGACGATGATTATGTAAAATTGCATTAATTCTGTAGTGTAGATTCACCCAAAAGAAGTTTGACACCATTTTTTGCCTCAGCTCAAGGCCATGGAATCCTGGGCTTTGTAGTTTGCTGGGGGGACTACTACTTTGGCAGAGAGGGCCAAAACTCTGAGGACTCCATACAGTTGAGCCATAGCAGTTAAAGTGTGTCAAACTGTATTATTTTTACAGTGTAGATGTTCTCTTGGTGTAAGCCAGCTTCTTATGTTCCCTAGAAAAAGTCACTGTCAGGACTGACTTCAAAAATGATGAAGGAGCACTCTGCACAGTCTCAGAGGGACTCTTGTCATATAATATCTTTTCACATTATCTGGTTCTTCGGGTTATTTCTGAGCCCCAGGATCCACTTCTGGAAAATGATATTCAAAATCATTTGAGAAAACTAGGAATCTCCACAGGCTTTTGGAAGTGTGACCCTTTTGGAGATTAATCGGCATTCACACTATTTGGAATAATCATAACCTTTTGGAAAAGCATGACCTTGTTAGAGATCATAACCAAACTAAACTAGTATTCAGATTTGGGTGTATTGGGTATTTGTGCCATATTCGGTCCAGTGAATGAAAATACATCCTGCTTATCAGATATTTACATTACAATTCATAACAGTAGTAAAATTACACTTATAAAGTAGCAACAAAAATAATTCTATGGTTAGGGGTTGCGGCATTAGGTAGGTTGAGAACCACTGCAATATATTAAGCAATCTGAATTATATACATAACAAATGACTAGTGGTGGTTTGAAGAAGCTTGCTATTTCCAACATCCACAAAACCCAACTCATGCTCCAAATCTTTTTCTTCTCCCTGCAGTTGCCATTTGCACCCGCAGCGAGATGGAGGACTTCCTCAGCGAAGCTGTTTGCATGAAGGACTTCGACCATCCGAATGTTATGAAGCTGATTGGTGAGAGGAAGGGAAATATGTATCTCTTGTGTGACCTTGACCCTTTAATTGCATCACATGGGTACTTTGTGGATGGATCACATATATGATGCTTCTCGCACTCGTCCGTTATTCCATATCTTTCTGCTAGGAAACTATGTCTCCCAATGTATTGTCGAAGGCTTTCATGGCCAGAATCACTGGGTTGTTGTAGGTTTTTTCGGGCTGTATGGCCATGGTCTAGAAGCATTCTCTCCTGATGTTTCCTGCATCTGTGCAAGCATCCTCAGAGGCTTGTGAGGTTCACAACCTCTGAGGATACTTGCTACAGATGCAGGTGAAACGTCAGGAGAGAATTCTTCCAGAACATGGCCAGACAACCCGAAAAACCTACAACAACCCTATATCTCCAAAATTCAGAAAGGGAGCAGGATGGCATTATTCTCTCTCCTGCCATCAATGCATTGGCACTTCAATGGCATTAATTCCCAGTTTTTGCTTTCTGACATTTAAATTACAAAACTCCATTTACACACTTTGCTTGGATTTGCGACTTGCTCCAAGATTGGTCCCTTGGAAGAAGTCGTCATTGTGAAATTGCGCAATTTCACATTATGCAACAAAGCTCTCATGGGACAGAACGTCAGCTACTCTCCTGATCCAGAAGATGAACACACACTAAAAAGAAATTCTATGCCTTTCCTTGTAAATCCTGCCCAGTTCTAAAACTTTTATATATTTACTTCTTAAACTCCCTCTGGTAATTGCACAATTGATAATTGCGCAATTGCACTATTCCCTGGAGCATGTAAAATGAATGGTTTACTTGGGAACTCTTAGGAAGCTCCGTAATTTGGCATTTCCTATTTTATTTATTTATTTACAGTATTTATATTCCGCCCTTCTCACCCCGCAGGGGACTCAGGGTGGATTACAATGTACATATACATGGCAAACATTCAATGCCAATTAGACATACAACATATATAGACAGACACAGAGGCAATTTAACATTCCAGCTTTTTGGCTTCATGAGGGTATGCTTGATTCTGGCCACAGGGGGAGCTGCTGCTTCACTGTCCACTTGTGACACCAAGTCCTTGATGGAGTACTTCCTCATTCTTACACTATGTAATGTGTAGGGTTTACGTATGTAGGATTCCCTTAATGTTATTTTAATCTCGAGCCATTTTATTTTTTTTTTGTTGTGTCAGGAGCATCCTGTTGTGAGAGAATTGGCCGTCTGCAAGGACGTTGCCCAGGGGATGCCTGGATTATTTTTGATGTTTTATCATCCTTGTGGGAGGCTTCTCTCATGTCCCCACATGAAGAGCTGAAGCTGATAGAGGGAGCTCATCCGCCTCTCCCGGATTCGAACCTGCGACCTGTCGGTCTTCAGTCCTGCCGGCACAGTTTAACCCACTGCACCACTGGGGGTTCCTTGACAGATGCATACTTGACAGATGCAACTGTCTTTTGGGCTGCATAGGTCAACAACAAGCTAGACTATTAATGGTTGGGAGCTCACTCTGACCCGGACTGACTTCAAAGTCAGTAGTGATTTAATGCAGTTGGCTGTGAACTAGTTGTAATATAATATAAATGGGTTCCTGAATAAGTACATACAACAAAAATACCACTTATATATAGAGTAAACAATAATAGAATTCAACAAACAGTTATATAGACATGTTGTACTGTTCAATTTCACAGTGATGTCAAACAATATTGTGTAAATTTTGGTACAGTCTCTTTAGAATAATATCAAAACAATAATGGAATTCAACAAGCAGTTATATAGACATGTGTACTGTTCAATTTCACAGTGATGTGAAACACTATTATGTAAATTTTGGTACAGTCTCTTTAGAATAATACAATGTCATATCTTCTTATAGATCAGCCGTCCACGATCAGTTTCGGCCTTACTTCAGGCCTTCTTCTGGTCATGGACGGCTGATCTATAAGCTACTCAACATAAGAAGATACGACATTGATATTATTCTAAAGAGACTGTACCAAAATTTACATAATAGTGTTTGACATCACTGTGAAACTGAACAGTACAACATGTCTATATAACTGTTTGTTGAATTCTATTATTGTTTACTCTCTATATAAGTGGTATTTTTGTTGTATGTACGAACTAGTTGTGCCACAGCCCGGTCCACCTATTGGAAATTTCTGGGCAATCTGTAAGAGACTAATAAAACCACATTTACATCTTTCTCCCTATTTGCAGCCAGAATGGTTACTGAAACATATCTGGATAAGTAGTCAATCATGGGTTGCAAGTGTCCTTCACTTTTGAATGGTCCACCTCAGGTGGCACCAAGTGTGTGCAAACAATGTTGTCTGCTTGCATTTGGTGCCATATGAGTCAACCCAGTTCTGTATGTAGAGAAAGATGATTCTGTCAGCTATAGCCTGGGAAAAACTCAAAAGAGAGAAAAGAGCCTTTGGACTTTTGGGGGTGGTGGAGGAAGAAGGAGGAAAAGCAAAATAGGCCAGCTGTCCCTGGGGAAGAGGCCTCGGAGAGAGGGAGAAGAGAAGAGGAGACTTCTTGGGAAAACAGATGTTGGCAAGGATGTTGGGAGCTCTGGCCGGGTGGGCGGAAGCGCCGCTAATGCAAATCATCCTGCTTTCGGAGCTTGGAAGGACGGTCCCTCTCAGTCCCGGCTTCCCACTCTTCTGGTTCGCATCAAGAAGGGAAATAAAAATAGCCTTCATCCAGAGAGAGTCACCGAAGGAATGCGTTACTTGAGGCTAGAAGGGCTCAAGAGGGGCAGTTCTCAGAGGGAGACACCCTGGGTGCATCTACACTGCAGAATTAATGCAGTTTGGATTTGTGGTTTGGTGAGGCACCAGCGATGTGAGGGGGTTGACGAATGCAAGGCTGGGGTGAAAATTGCTGGAAGAAACATTAACCTTAGATATGCAGATGACACCACTTTGATGGCTGAAAGTGAGGAGGAGCTGAGGAGTGTTCTAATCAAGATGAAAGAAGAAAGCACAAAAGCTAAGTTGCAGTTAAACATAAAAAAAAAACAAAGATTAGGGCAACAAGAATGACTGACAACTGGGAAACAGAGGGAGAAAACGTGGAGGCAGTGACAGACTTTGTATTTCTAGGTGCAAAGATTACTGCAGATGCAGACTGCAGCCAGGAAATCAGAGACTTACTTCTTGGGAGGAGAGCAATGACCAATCTTGATAAAATAGTGAAGAGTAGAGACATCACACTGGCAACGAAGAGCCGCATAGTAAAAGCATTGGTATTCCCCGTAGTAACCTACGGATGTGAGAGCTGGGCCATAGGGAAGGCTGAGCGAAGGAAGAGAGATGCTTTTGAGCGGTGGTGTTGGAGGAAAGTTCTGAGAGTGCCTTGGACAGCGAGAAGATCCAACCAGTCCATAGTTCAGGAAATAAAGCCCGACTGCTCATTGGAGGGAAGGATAGAGGCAAAGATGAAGTACTTTGGCCACATCATGAGAAGAAGGAAAGCTTAGAGAAGACAATTATGCTGGGGAAAATGGAAGGAAAAAGGAAGAGGGGCTGACCAAGGGTAAGATGGATGGATGGTATCCTTGAAGTGACTGGATTGACCTTGAAGAAGCAGGAAGTGGTGGGAGATGGGGGGGGGGAGGAGGGAGCGGGGGGGGGGGGGGTGTGATGCTGACGGGAGTTCTGGCCTGTCTGATCCAGGAGTCCAAAGGTCGAAACAGACTAAACATGAACACAACAACACAGAGCACCGCACTCTTTGGCAACAGTCAAGAGCGTTTTTTGTTATTCATGATGTCTTATACATGTGGCATTGAATGTTGCTTTTTACTCTTTGAGTCTCTTCGAGGTTTGATAAAGGCGGATACAAGTAATGTATAAATAATTAAAACTACAACCTCACATAATCATGTATTGAGCCATTAATCTAGATCATCGTTGGAATGACCCGGCCATCCGTCATCCCCCCTGCCATCCAAAGTCAACAATCCAGATGGTCCAAAATGCAGCGGCCAGGCTGCTAGCGGGATCATCTATAAGATCCCATATTACACCAATTCTGCAACAACTGCATTGGCTACCAATAGAACATCGGATCTCTTACAAGATACTGATCCTGACATTTAGAGCTCAAAATGGCCAAGGACCTTTATATCTTAAGGACCGCCTCATTCCTTTTCTCCATCAGTGGTCACCTCGATCCACCCAGGAAAATCTCCTCTACATACCGGGTCCTAGGGAGGTACACCTCGAAGCTACAAGGCGTAGGGCTTTTTAGATCTATGCTCCAATTCTGTGGAACTCATTGCCTCCATATATTAGAGCAATGTCGGAGTTGCGACCTTTTGTAAAGGCGCTCAAGACTTGGCTGTTTGGTTGTGCATTTAAGTAAAGTGATCAGATCTAATTTGCCAAATAGTCACTGTTGAATGTTTTTATGTTGAATGTTTTTATATTGTGTAAATGCTATTTTAAATTGTAAGTCGCTCGGAGCACCTTGGTGGAGAGCAACTAATTAAGAAATAAAGTGAAGTGAAGATGGCCACCCAGCCTGTATTTAAAAGCATCCAAAGAGTCCCCACTATTTATTTATTTATTTACTATACTTATATACCGCCTCTCTCAGCCCGAAGGTGACTCGTGGCGGTTTACAGTCTGCAATTAATGTCATTAAACACATAAAATATAATTAAAAACATTAACATATAATATAGACCATATAAAAGCAGTAGAAGCAATAAAAACCATAAAGCACAAGTCCTCAGCATCTCATTACTAAAATCATTTTCCCGTCGCATTGTTCAATCGTTCCGTAGATCTAAATTAGTCTGTTATACTGCATTTGCAAATGCTTGCTCAAAAGCCAGGTTTTAACTCTTTTTCAAAGTGTCAGGAGGGAGGGTGCCAATCTGACATCTCTGGGGAGGTCATTCCATAGCCGAGAGGCCACTGCTGAGAAGGCCCTGTCTCTCGTCCCTGCCAATCGCATATGCGAAGGAGGCACGACCGAGAGCAGGGCCTCCCCAGACGATCTTAAGCTCCTAGCTGGTTCATTTGGAGAGATATGTTCAGACAGGTAAGCTGGGCTGGAACAGTTTAGGGGTTTATAGCCAGCACTTTGAATTGTGCCCGATAGCAAACTGGCAGCCAGTGGAGTTGACGCAACAGAGGAGTTGTATGCTCCCTGAGTGCCACTCCTGTTAGTAACCTCGCTGCCACCTGTTGGACCATTTGAAGCTTCCAAACCGTCTTCAAAGGCAGCCCCATGTAGAGCGCGTTGCAGTAGTCTATACAGGATGTAACCAGAGCGTGGACTATCGTGGCCAAGTCACTACACTCCGAGACAGAGAATTCCACTGCTGAACAGCTCTTACAGTCAGGAAGCTCTTCCTAACGTTGAGGTGGAATCTCTTTTCTTGTCATTTGAATCCATTGCTCCAAGTCTTGGTCTCCATGACAGTTAAAGTGGTGTCAAACTGCATTTGTTCCACAGTGTAGATGCACCCCATATGAGAGGAGAGTGACTTCTGCTTACCATCCTTCCTTCTTAGAGGGATCAGGGAAAGGAGAAGATTTGTTATTATTATTTTGCTGCAGCAACTTGAAGAGCGGGGAAATTGATTTCCTTCTCCTTCCTTCTTCCTTCCTTCCTTCCTTCCTTCCTTCCTTCCTTCCTTCCTTCCTTCCTTCCTTCCTTCCTTCCAGGTGTCTGCTTACAGAACACGGAGAGTGAAGGCTATCCCTCTCCAGTTGTTATCTTGCCCTTCATGAAGCACGGCGACCTCCACAGCTTCCTCCTATATTCCCGTCTTGGAGACAGTCCAGTGGTAAGTTGCAACTGCATGAGACATCTCTAGCCAGGTTCAGAGGGTGGTTGCCAGGAGGGCAAAAGTTAGTAATGAAGAAGATCAGACAAACTACAGCAGTTTGCTTTTGCCTGAGTCTACAGGGAAGGGAAAGATTCTGCTCTTTCCTATCCTCCCTATTGAGTTAACTGAGTGGAAATTACCATATATACTCGAGTATAAGCTGATCCAAATATAAGCCAAGGCACCTAATTTTACCACAAAAAATTGGGAAAACATAAGCCAAGGGAAATGCAGCAAAATAAAAATAGATACCAATAAAAGTGCATTCATTGAGGCATCAGGAGGTTAAATGTTTTGGAATATTTATTAGTTACATAAAACTGTAATCTATATAAATAAAAATGTAATTGCGGGATTAACATAACTCAAAAACCACTGGGCGAATTGACACTTTGGACACAATACACCTGCCAGGCCAATGAGTGACTATCTCACATACAAACACTGAAAAACACAGCAGAAGAGACTTCAAAAGCCAAAAACAAAAAATACATTACAACACATGGGCAAAACCACATATATACACAAAAACACCTATTTATACACATATACACTACCTTTACCTTTACCTACACAAATATATTCACACACATATTTATTATTATTATATTATTAATATTTATTATTATTATTATTATTATTATTATTATTATTATTATTTACTTCATTTATATACCGCTTTTCTCAGCCCTTGGGTGACTCAGAGCGGTTATACACATATATACACACACAAAACACATATACACAGACTGGGCCACAGCAATGCATGGCAGGGGATGGCTAGTTTAAGATAAGATTGTCCAACTCTTGATTAAACCATTATTCTAACCTTCTTCAGTGTAGATGTGCTTATGTATCCTTCCGATAATAATAAAGAGAGTAAAATAATACATGTAATAAAATAATAATAGAGTAGAATAATGGAAATGCAATAATAACAGTAATAATAGAGTAAAATAATAAATGTAATAATAATAATAATAACAGTAGTAATAGAGTAAAATAATAAATGTAATAATAATAAATGGAGAATAATAATAATAATAATAAATGGAGTAAAATAATAAATGTAATAATAACAATAATAAAGTAAAGGTAAAGGTTTTTCCCCTAACATTAAGTCTAGTCGTTTCTGACTGGGGGTTGGTGCTCATCTCCATTTCTAAGCCGAAGAGCCGGCGTTGTCCGTAGACATCTCCAAGGTCATGTGGCCAGCATGACTGCATGGTGCGCCATTACCTTCCTGCCAAGGCGGTACCTATTGATGTACTCACAATTGCATGTTTTTCAACTGCTAGGTTGGCAGGAGCTGGGGCTAAGAATGGGAGATAACCCCCCTCCCTGGATTTGGATTACCGACCTTTTGGTCAGCAAGTTCAGCAGCCCAGCAGTTTAACTTGCCGCACCACTAACAACAATAATAAAGTTAAATTATAAATGTAATAATAATAATAATAATAGAGAAAAATAATAAATGTAATAATAATAATAATAATAATAATAATAATAATAATAATAGAGAAAAATAATCAATAATCTTGACTCAAGTATAAGCTGAGGGGGTGCCTTTTCAGCCTGAAAAACTAGGCTTATACTCGAGTATATATAGTACTTTTTGTGCAAAGGGGAAAGGGAGAGGAGGAGAAAAAACAGGACATTTTTAACTCAGCTGAAAAAGTGGAAGGACAGAGTATTAATAAGGACTCTTGCTGCCAAATAGAGACAGTCAGGATGTTCTCTAAGTTATAGCAAGTAGCCATAGGAGCCCTTTTGCATTACGCAGAGTCAGATATAAGCCCACCAAACCTCTAGATCTATTGAACTTCACCAATCCTAATCTGGAGGCAAAGTGGTAACTTTTGGAGAAGAGTTTGCAGTACAGTTCTTGTCCGTATTTAATCGTGCTTTTCTTCTCTTTCTCCTCCAGTACCTACCAACACAAACGCTGGTCAAGTTCATGACAGACATTGCTAGCGGGATGGAGTATCTCAGTAGCAAGAACTTCATCCATCGCGACCTCGCGGCCCGTAATTGCATGTGAGTGAATGGCACTGAAAATTGGCGCAAGTGGGGGTTTAAAGGACAACGGAGATGGGGATTGCAGGAGCAACTTGTGACAGTCTTGGGTTCACTCTAGCCAAAGTCTTCCATGAATGCACATTTTACATAGGTAAAGGTAAAGATTTTCCCCTGACTTTAAGTCCAGTTGTGTTCGACTCTGGGGGTTGGTGCTCATCTCCATTTCTAAGCTGAAGAGCTGGCGTTGTCTGTATACACCTCCAAGGTCATGTGGCCAGCATGACTGCATGGAGTGCCGTTACCTTCCCACCGGAGCGGTACCTATTGACCTACTCACATTTGCTAGATAAATAGAAAAAAGGAAAAAAAGAAAATAATGAGAAAAAAAACTTTTTTTTTAAAAAAAGTTTTTTAAAAGGAAAAAAAAATTATAAATAACAAATACATGCTAAGGTCATATTCATTAATCAAACAAAGAAAAAAACATTTAACTAAAAGATTGTATACATTTTAGCAAACAGCTACGTCTAGAATAAACATCTTCACCACAAAATACCTTTATATAAAGACCAAATTTGGTACACAAAAAAACAAACGTCAGGGCAAGTCAAATCTTCACACGACGCAACAACACCCAGCATTTGCTTACCCACCACTTGTTCTTTTTCCACGTTTCCAATTATAAAAACAAATTCAACAACTTCTTTTTTTCATTTAGGAAAGCAGGGGGTGTCAGCCCCCCCCCCCAATGACGCAGGGGGGTCCGCAGAAGCCGTCTAGGTACCGTATGTCTGTCAGTTTATTCATAGCTTATCTGATCACCTGGCTCATTACTTTGTAGTAGGATACCGATCAAAGTGCTATGAAAATCATGATCCCCCCGATCACTCAGCCCCAATCAACCTCAGCCCCCGAATCAAATTCAGCCTTCCTGATCAACCTCAGCCCCCCCGAATCAAACTCACCACCCCCTAAAATTCAGCCCCCCGAATCAAACCCAGCCCCCCAAAACTCAGCCCCCCGAATCAAACTCAGCCCCCCAAATCAAACCCACCCCCAAATCAAACTCAGCCCCCCTAATCAAACTCAGCCCCCCGAATCAAACAGCCCCCCCAAATCAAACTCAGCCTCCCGAATCAAACTCAGCCCGAATCAAACTCAGCCCCGAATCAAACTCAGCCCCCCTCAAACTCAGCCCCCCGAACCAAACTCATCCCCACCGATTCAAACTCAGCCCCCCAAATCAAACTCAGCCCCCCGAATCAAGCTCAGCCCCCCCAAATCAAACTCAGCCCCCCAAATCACACTCAACCCCCCCCCCGATTCAAACTCAGCCCCCCGAATCACACTCAACCCCCCCGATTCAAACTCAGCCCTCCCAACTCAGCCCCCCCGAGCCAAACTCAGCCCCCGAATCAAACTCAGCCTCCTCCAAATCAGCCCCCCATCAAACCCAGCCCCCCCGAATCAACCCCCCCCCCCGAATCAAACCCACCCCCTCGAACCAAACCCAGCCCCCCGAATCAAACCCAGCCCCTCGAATCAAACCCAGCCCCCGAATCAAACCCCCCCGAATCAAACCCAGCCCCCCCGAAACTCAGCCCCCCCTGAAACTCACCCCCCCCCCCGAATCAATATCCTGGCTATGGGCCTGACTCACATTTGCAAGTTTTCGAACTGATAGGTTAGCAGAAGCTGGGGCTGACAGCAGGAGCTCACCCCGTTCCCCGGATTCGAACCTTTTGGTCAATAGGTTCAGAAGCTCAGCGCTTTAACTTAAATTGTACATACTGATGTATAATTTCTCTCTTGTACCAGGCTGAACGAGAGCATGACCGCCTGCGTGGCCGATTTCGGCCTCTCTAAGAAGATCTACAATGGGGATTATTACCGGCAAGGCCGCATCTCCAAGATGCCCGTCAAGTGGATCGCCATTGAGAGTTTGGCAGATCGCGTCTATACCATCAAGAGCGATGTGGTGAGCCAACCAAGATGACATGTGTGGTTTTTATATCCCATAGCTATCTTTCCTCCAGAGCAGTCAGGGCAGTTCTGAGCATTGTAGTCCTAGACAAACAATGTTTGCAGCTTGACATCCTTCTCTCTAAGCTTCAAGCAAACCTAGCCTGTGAGGAGTGATGGGAATTGCAGTCCCAACAGCATCTGGAGGGCTGGTATTTCCATCCCTAGAAGGGTTGGCCTGGAATGTGGTGGAGGCTCCTTCTTTGGAGGCTTTAAAGCAGAGGCTGGATGGCCATCTGTTGGGGGTGCTTTCAATGTGATTTTCCTGCTTCTTGGCAGAATGGGGTTGGAGTTGATGCCCACAAGATTTCTTCCAACTCTATGATTCTGTGATTCCACCTCAAGAGTCTTCTTCTCTTGAGGTTTTTAAACAGGAGTGAAATAGTCATCTGCTGGGAGTGCTTTGATTGTGTATTCCAGAAGGCAGAATGGAGTTGGACTGGATAACCTTTGGGGTTGCTTCTCACTCTAGAGCTATGGTTCTCAACCTTCTCAATGCCACGACCCCTTAATACATATGTTGTGATGACCCCCAACCATAACATTATTTTCGTTGCTACTTCACAACTATAATTTTGCTCCTGTTATGAATCATCTTGTAAATATCCGGTATGCAGGATGTATTTTCATTCATTTGGCACAAATACTCAATATGCCCAAATTTGAATACTGGTGGGATTGAGGGGAAGATTGATTTTTGTCATTTGGGAGTTGTAGTTTCTGGAATGTATAGTTCACTTACAATATCAAAGAGCATTCTGAACTCCACCAATGATGGAATTGAACCAAACTTTGGACACAGAGCTCCCATGACCAACAGAAAATACTAGAAGTATTTGGTGAGCAATGACCTTGGGTTTTGGAGTTGTAGTTTACCCACATCCAGAGAACGCCGATGCTTCTGGACCAAGCTTGGCATGAATACTCAATATGCCCAAATGTGGACACTGGTGCAGTTTGGGGAAGATAGACCTTGACATTTGGGAGTTGTAGTGGCTGGGATTTATAGTTCACCTATAATCAAAGAGCATTCTGAACTCCACCAATGATAGAATTGGGCAAATTTATTTTTATTTATTTATTTAGCAGTTTTGTATACCGGTCTTCTCACCTCCATCGAGGGACTCAGGCCGGTTTCCAACATCAATATTACAGCAATCACTAAAAACATCGTATTCCAGATTACACTAAGACATTAAAAACAAATACAATCATATAATTACAATAGTCAGTCATCATCATAAAATCATTATTCATCGACATCCACCCATATCACACAACTTGACTCGTTCTTCGAATGCCAGTTTCCAGAGCCAAGTTTTCACCTATTTTCTGAATGTCAAGATAGAGGGGGCTGTTCTGATCTCCAGAGGAAGGGAGTTCCAGAGTCGAGGGGCCACCACTGAGAAGGCCCTGTCCCTCATCCCCACCAGACGCGCTTGAGAGGCCGGTGGGACCGAGAGCAGGGCCCCTCCAGACGATCTTAGCAATCTTGATGGTTCATAGGGGAAAATACGTTCGGACAGGTAAACTGGGCTGGAGTCGCAAAACTTCCCACACGGAACCCCCACGACCAACAGAAAATATTGTGTTTTCTAATTGTATTTGGCAACCCCTCTGACACCCCCTCATGACCCCCCCCAGGGGTCCCGACCCCCAGGTTGACAAACATTGCTCTAGAGTGCTATGATTATTATTCAATTTTAAAGCTTCTCTCACATTTTCTTTTATCTAATTCCTACCTTGCAGTGGTCATTTGGTGTTACTATGTGGGAGATTGCCACTCGAGGCCAAACGCCGTACCCAGGTGTGGAAAACAGTGAGATTTATGACTACCTGCGCCAAGGCAACCGACTGAAGCAGCCCATCGACTGCCTAGATGGCTTGTAAGCATCACCATCCTTCCTCTTTCCTTAATGTTCTCCTAATGCCCTGCAACATAGCCCACTAATTTCCCTCCATACTGAGTAATTTCTGGATGATCTTGGGCAAGTCACACTCTCTCAGCCTCAGAGGGAGGCAGCGGCAAACTTTCTCTACGGTAGTCTTGCCATGTAAACCCTAGGATAGGGCCACTCTTGGTCAGAGTTGACGTGAAAGCACATTACAACAATGATGCCAGTCAAGTGGTAAAGCAATCCTCATATTTTCATTATGTTTTGGAAAATCCCAGTGAATGACTTACATACTTGGGGACTGCTTGTATATGTGCCACTTGGAGATGACCCCTGGAAACTGAAAGCCATGCCCTGAGATATGGCAATGATAATAATAATAATAATAATAATAATAATAATAATAATAATAATAATAAATCACACAGTCCTAGACGCTTGGGAAGTGTTTGACTTGTGATTTGGTGATACGAAATCCAGCATATAGTTCTCGTTTGCTGTGACATACTGTGCTTTTGGGTCAATAATAATAATAATAATAATAATAATAATAATAATAATAATCTATATAAATAAAATTGTAATGTTCGTTTGTGGGATTAACAGAACTCAAAAACCACTGGGGGAATTGACACCAAATTTGGACACAAGACACCTATCAGGCCAAAGAGTGACCATCACTCATAAAAACACTGAAAAACACAGCAGAAGGAACTTAAAAAGTCCCAAAAAGMTAAATGACAAAAAGCTAAATGACAATACCGAAAAAAGGGGAGAAAGAGGGAGGGAAGGGAAGAAAGAAAGAAAGAAAGAAAAGAAAGAGAGAGAKAGGGAAAGAATGAAGGAAAGGGAGAAGGAAGCATGGAAGCAAAGAGAGAAGGAAGGAAGGAAAGAGGTAGAGAAAGAAGAAAGGAGAGAAAGAGGGAGGGAAAGAAAAAGGGAGAAGGAAGGAAAGTTAAAGAAGGAGGGAAGGAGAGAAGGAAATAAAAAAGGGAAAGAAGGAAGGAAAGAGGGAGAGAAGGAAGGGGGGAAGATGTAGAGAAAGAGGGAAGRAAGGAAAGAAGAAAAGAGAAGGAAGAAAAGAGAGACAGCAGAGGGGAAAGGAAGGAAAGAGAAGAAAAGGRAAAAGAAAAAACGGGAAGGAAGGAGGAAAGAGCGAGTGAAGGAAGGAGGGAAAGAAGGAGAGAAAGAAGGAAGGTTGGCCACAGCAAAGCGTGGCGGGTACAGCTAATAATAATAATAATAATAATAATAATAATAATAATAATAATGCTCAGCTCTAGCTCTGGAGAAGGCGTTCTTCTCCATTTTCAAGCTGAAGAGCCTGTGTTATTATCTCCTGGTCGTGTGGCTGGCAAGACTGCTTGGAGCGTCTTTTGCCCTTTCTCGCCGAAGCAGTACCTATTTATCTACTCACATTTGCATGTTTTTGAACTGCTAGGGCTAACAGTGGGAGCTCACCCCATCCCACAGATTTGAACTGCCGGCCTTTAGGTCAGCAGTTCAGCAGCTCAAGGGTTTAACCCATTGCGCCACCGCGGCACCATAGCTCTCCTTTGCAAATAACTCTCCGTCTTTTCTCCTGCACAGGTATGAGCTTATGATGAGCTGCTGGGCCCTCAATCCACGGGACCGTCCCAGCTTCGAGGTCCTCCACAATGAGCTGGAGAAGATCCTCAAGTCCCTTCCACCTGCCAAGGACCCCGAGGAGATCCTCTACGTCAACATGGACGACGGAGTGGCCCCCGAGGAGGCCGAGCTGGGAGCCGTGGGCGGCTTGGGCTCCGACGAGGCGCCGGCAAAGGACAGCCAGTCGCTGAAGCCCACGGTGACAGCAGTTGAGGTTCACCCACCCCAAGGAATGGGGCGCTATGTGGTGTGCCCCACTCCTCACGAAAACAGCCGACTCCTGACAGAGTCCTCAAGCTGTGCCGCCACGGAGGAAGGAGCCTGAGACAGAGATGGGTGGAGGGAGGTTTGGATTCAGTTGTGGGGCGGAAGGAGGGTACGAATAACAATAGCTATCTGTGAGGTTTGGAAAGTCTCCTTGCCGAGGGGGATTCACCGAGTAGCCCACAACTGAGCCACACACTCCATATCCACAAACGAACCACTGCTTCAGTTCTGCCAACCTTTCTTTTCCTCCTTCCAGGCTTATCCCTCCTGATTTAAGGGAGGGACTTGGAAAGATCAGACCCCTGAATGTGTCCCGCAGCTAGACCCACCGACCCACCAATCGCTTTATTGGCATTCCTGTCACTTATAGCCACTGATCTAAAGGAAAAAACACAACTCTCGACTCCACAGTATAGAGGGTTGCAGATGTAGGGAAAGTCATTATCTTTCATAAAGGGAAATGGTAAAATTGGCAAGACCAAACGGAGCAATCCAAGAATACGGAGATCCCCCCACTTCACCCTTTTCCTGTTAAAGGAAAATCAGAAGTTTCACAGAATCCTAGAACCATAAAGTTGAAAGGGACCCTAAGGGCCATACAGCCCTACCCCGTTCTGCCAGACAGAAAGACCAATCAAAGCCCTCACAACAGATGGCCACACAGCTTATGCTTTCAAACCTCAAGAGGAGGAAATCCCTCACGTCTCTCCACTCCTTTAAATAGGAAGGGATAGCCAATACTCCAGAAGAAAGGAGCAGAATTCAAAATGATCTTAAAAGATTAGAGAGATGGGCCAAAACTAACAAAATGAAGTTCAACAGGGAGAAATGCAAGAGACTCCACTTAGGCAGAAAAAATGAAATACAAAGATACAGAATGTGGGACGATGCCTGGCTCGAGAGCAGTACGTGTGAAAGGGATCTTGGAGTCCTCACAGACAACAAGTTAAACATGAGCCAACAATGTGATGTGGCGGCAAAAAAAGCCAATGGGATTTTGGCCTGCATCAATAGGAGTCTAGTGTCTAGATACAGGGAAGTCATGCTCACCTCTATTCTGCCTTGATTAGACCACACCTGGAATATTGTGTCCAATTCTTGGCACTGCAATTGAAGAGAGATATTGACAAGCTGGAATGTGTCCAGAGGAGGGCAACTAAATGATCAAGGGTCTGGAGAACAAGCCCTATGAGGAGCGGCTTAAGGAGCTGGGCATGTTTAGCCTGAAGAAGAGAAGGCTGAGAGGAGACATGATGAGAGCCATGTATAAAGATGTGAGAGGAAGCCACAGGAGGAGGGAGCAAGCTTGTTTCTGCTTCCCTGGAGACTAGACGTGGAACATGGCTTCAAACTGCAAGAAAGGAGATTCCATCTAAACATCAGGAAGAACTTCCTGACTGTGAGAGCTATTCAGCAGTGGAACTCTCTGCCCGGAGTGTGGTGGAGGCTCCTTCTTTGGAAGCTTTTAAACAGAGGCTGGATGGCCATCTGTCGGGGGTGGTTTGAATGCAATTTTCCTGCTTCTTGGCAGGGGGTTGGACTGGATGGCTCATGAGATCTCTTCCAACTTTATGATTCTATGGCAGTCCAAACTATACTATATCTCACCAGCTCAGAGGTACATGGACTGCATTGCGGCTAGATAGTTGTGACCCTGCTTCTTCATTTTTAATGTCATGCCAATGCACAGAGATGGAGTGGAGAACATTTTTCCTGGCAAATAGATATTTCAGCAAGGGAAAGCTTCCCCTATGCAATTTCTGTACATATAATATTAAAGATACAGGAGCAAAGCTTGTTCAAACGGCAGCGGTTGGATGTGGACACAACTTTCCGTATAGCTAAATGAAAACCATGGCTGCTTTCACCTTCCCCGATTCCCCCATCCTTGTTTTCCCTATCAGCTGTTTCACTGCCAAGTCTCCCAGGTTGGTGTCTTTTCCCTGAGATGCCTCCAGATCAGGCATCTCAAGTAAAATAGGTATGAATCTGTCGACCACCTTCAGATCTCTCCCAATCTGTTGCCTACTTCCAGCCTTTGCAAAAAGGCCTTTCTGCACAATTTCTTTTTAGCACAATGAATGCACATTTGTCACTGATTTGTTCTGCGCTGTCTACACATGATTCCCTGCTGTCTGCCACAGCATTGTATAGCAACGCTTACAGAGATGCCGTCACAAGTTTAGAGTGTGCCCAATAGAGTATTATAAATATTAGCATAATGATCAAGTGTTGGGAAAGCCCAAAAGAGAAGATTCATAAGTGCAGTTCAGGACTTGGTCTGCACAAAAAGCATAGAAATCTTGCATCGAGTGTAACATGCACACGTTTCATGCAGGATTATTTCATTTTCTGTGCAAAAATCTGCATGCATTATCATTGCAGAATAAGCCCTGAACTGTAGCTCCATCTACACTACCATATAATGCCGTTTAACTGTATTGAACAGCATTATGTGGCAGTTTGGACTCACATAATGCAGTTCAATGCCAGTGTTTATATGTCCTGTATATAGTCTTTTGACAACTTTCTCACAGCAAGAGAAAAACAGTGAATTGATTCATCATCGCTAACAAGAATGAGTGGGTTGTTGTAGGTTTTTTCAGGCTATATGGCCATGTTCTAGAGGCATTCTCTCCTGACATTTCACCTGCATCTATGGCAAGAATCCTCAGAGGTAGTGAGGATATATTGAACATGGTGATCAGATCATGATATGAATAAACATAACAGTTTAAATAATGTACCAGTAAGGCCTTCTCACAGACCACCCTGAGAATTTGGGGGGGGGGGGCTGAAGCTCCTCAAGCCCCCCCCCCCCCCCCCCAGCTACGGGCCTGACCCAAAGTTTGAGAAGTTTTGGCCTAGATCAATGATTCTCAACCTGTGGGTCCCCAGATGTTTTGGCCTTCAACTCCCAGAAATCCTAACAACTGGTAAACTGGCCAAAACAACTGGGTACCCACAGGTTGAGAACCACTGCCCTAGATGATGTGATACTACATCTCTCAGCATCCCTGAACAGTATAGAGCAGGCATGAGCAAATTTCGTCCCTCCAGGTGTTTTGGACTTCAAATCCCACAATTTCTAACAATCGCAGTAGGCTGTTAGAAATTGTGGGAGTTGAAGTCCAAAACACCTGGAGGGACGGAATTTGCCCATGCCTGGTGTAGAGGAATCCCAAAACTGGCCATCTGCTTTCCACCCAGCATCAAACCTGGTGTGCTTTCTGCAGAAGAGTTCATAACAGGGGTTTTATTTCAGGTCTGAGCTTGGGAAGATAATATTATAGGGTTGTGGTGAGTTGAAATGGATAGGCGCAGTGGTTCTCAACCTGGAGTCCCCAGATGTTTTTGGCCTTCAACTCCCAGAAATCCTAACAGCTGGTAAACTGGCTGGGATTTCTGGGAGTTGTAGGCCAAAAACATGTGGGGACCCCAGATTGAGAACCATTGGAGGGAAAGCTTCAACACACAGTTCCTCCTCCGCTTGAGAGCTGTGCGACGCATCTGCCTCAGGGGTACCTGCTTCCCATCTATTTCAGGGCTTCAATTTGTGCCAACCTTGCCATGATGCTTGCCATGACGCCACCTCCATTAAATGGTACGAAGAAACATTAAAAACCAATGAATCTTGTGAAATCAATGCATCATGCTATAATCATAGATCTTCCAAACGGTATTTTCAGCCATTAAGCTTCAAGTCTCCAATCATGTTTTCCATTCCATTTGGTGAAATCCATCTTCCTCCCTCTTTGGATGAATAACGCCTAAGGATTTCCCCATCAAGTGCCACTTCTGTTCAAATCAAGCTCTTTTCTTTGCTACGTTGATGTGTCTGCAGAACAATCAGAATCTTTTGTTTTCCTTTTTTAAAAAAGAAATGAAATGTTTTTATATATAAATATATGTATGTATATACTTTTTTTAAAAAACAAAATTCTGTATATGAAATGTTTTTCCTACTCCCTTCATTTTTGTACAAACACGTTTCCCTCTCAGGGCAAGATCTGTTTTTTTTAGAGAAAGAGAGAGTGCTCTGTGATATATTTTGCTTATAAATAAAAATTTCATATTAAAAAAAATGGAACCGATCTGAAACGCACCTTTTAATTTGATAGAGAAGAAAAGGAAAGCGGTTGAGGAGAAATGGTCCCGACTCTGGTGGGGGAGAAAAAGTGTTTTGCTTGGATAGAGCATCAAAACCCAATAACCTTGAATTGAGAGTTACAAAAACAACAACAACAACATACTTTATTTATATTCCACTCTATCTGTACTGTCACATGCTGGGCCTATAATAATTGTCTTTTGAACAGGACGTGCTCTTTGTGCCCAGCGGGAAGCCAGGTTGCCTTGGCTGAGAGGCCCTAAGGATTTTCCTATACAAAAGTCTTTAGATGCTTGAAAAGTTTAACAAAGTCCTTTATTATTGCTTATTATTATTATTATTATTATTATTATTATTATTATCTTTATTTGTACCCCGCTAGCATCTCCTGAAGGACTCGATGCACCTTACAAAGGCCAAGGCCTCAATAAAACAACAACATAACAATACACATAGCATTATAAAGCAAATCAAAACATTAAGCAATAACAGTAAACAATAGAAACAGTACACCATGACACAATAAAACTAGGGCCAGGCCAAATGTAATGGGTACAGATTAAAAGTGCTGAGTATGAGAGGTGGAACATAGGATTTTAGGGTAAGTGCAATGTGCAGACAATCTTAAATCTCTGATAAAGTGCTTCTGGGACATATTGCTGGAGTTTCCTATTCTGGAAAGGCACACCGGAACAGCCAGGTCTTCAAACTCTTCCTGAAGACCGCCAGTGTAGGGGCTTGTCTGATGTCCTTGGGGAGGGTGTTCCAAAGTCGAGGGGCCACCACAGAAAAGGCCCTGTCCCTCGTCCCCACCAGACGCGCCTGCGACGCTTAGATCTTCAACAATTTAAACAAACACTTCTCAGATCTTCAACACATCAAACAAATGCTTCTTAACTTACCCAAATGGACAGGTAACTGGCTTTGTGAACTGTTTCTTTTCTTTGAAAGGAAAACTCTTTTTAACCCCTCCCAGGCAATCTACTTTCTATGCTTGCTGGTGTGAGTTCTACTCCCGGCTCCAATTGCTTCTGGTTACCCGAGTAGACCTACCAGCCAAGGCTTTGTAGATTCTCCAGCTGGAGTTCTTTTGGATCTTTTCCACGAAAGATGTGGAACTGTTTCCCTCGGATGCTTCTGTTTCCCCCGGATGCTATGAGAAACGAAGCTTGTCTACAGATGGAGCTGATCCACGTCCTGTAGCTAAGCTTTCCATAAGACTGAACTAAAAATGGTTCCCTTTCCCTCCCAGAACCCTGTAAAAAGGGGCGGAACCAAAACTTAACAATGATAGACAGCTGTGCTAACCCACCCTTATATATGTGTGATTGCGAATGGCCCACAGGCCGTGTCCAGCCCTCCACATCCTTTTATGTGACCCTCCAGATGCTGAACTACAACTCCTGTATTCCTCATCATTAGACATCCTGACTAGAGCTGATGGGAGTTGTGATACAATCACATCTGGAAGGCTAGGGTTTGTTCTGTTTAGTAGGATAGTCAGGTTTGAACTTTCTGTTCCTGTGATAATTGGATTTTATGATAATTGGCTTGTTATGAAAACAAGGGTTGAGGACACAGCTTCAGTGGAGACCCCTTTTCCCCATGGTAGTTCTTCCAGGAGTGAATTTCCCTTCTAAGAGGTAGATTTCTCTCACTTTTTGTTGTCTCACCCTTATTCTTAACTATGAATCATTTGTAAGTTGAATGTTTGTAACTCGGGGACTGCCTGCATTCTGATCATTGTAGGGAGCTAAAATCTCAGCCCAAGTCCCATGATGTTGCTGCTTCTGATCTCAACCAGACGGGATTGTTTTTATATTCCCGGAAGCCCATGCAATGGGAAAGGGGCACCAGCTCCAGACTGTGCCCCTTCAACCTCTGGCAAAGCAGAGGGCAAACCTTCCTCAATGGGCACATTCAGGGTCTGCTGGCCTAATGGCTGATGCTTCAGTTTGAGAGAGAAACAGAGAACAAGGCAAGCCATTGAAAGGGGCATCTTTCCTGACCACAAGCTTCTCCCTTTCACTCCTCATCAGAGACAAGGAATGAAGAAGCCCTTTCTACCATTGTCTCCAGCACTGAATGAAGGGGAGGGATCCAT